GTTAACTACCATGAATAAAGTTAACACTATGTAATTCTGTTTTGACAGCAGATACTCAAATCATTATTGTCCTGATAAATCTGGCCTTTTCCCTTCACTATATGCATTTAAATAATCTGCTCCTATAAAAGTTCACCATTAATTCAAATATTTAGATTAAAAACACAGATTAGTTTTCTTACCAAAATGAAGTAGCTACTTGCATATGGAAATTAACCCAGATTTATAACAGGTATTATATGCTCTACAGCCAACACGTTATACTACTCAACTGTTACAGTATTTTGAACCTGACTTCAGTAATTACCTGCTGTCTAGCCTCTGTAACCAGAAATGGCTGGATATAAATTAAAGGGTCTATCCAACTTTGCAGGCAAATGATGGATACCAATTTATAAGCTATTTAATAGCCTTAGCCTATAGTTAAAAATTATATAGAGAACTTATCAGTAGCAAAAATAAGTTATTTTTAACATATTTCACAATTATAACATTACTGTCAAATTACTAAATAGATTTACTCATTTATATTTAGAAGTCAGTCACATTTATGAAATACAGACTGGCAGAATTCTAATATTCTTTTGAGAAAGGTTTCTATAACAGATTGTTAGCACACTCATTACAAAAACAGCAACTACTACAAAAAATACAAGTTAAAGAATGCATAAAAGAGGCAGCATAAAAGCCTCTACAAGTTCAACATATTTTTTGGTCAGCCTGTATGACATTGAGAATTTGTGTGTGTGTTTGCATATTTTCCCTTTACCTCATCACATCTTTACCACAGTATGATGTGTGATGTAGCATGTGTTGTATACAACTGAAACTAGGGGTTCTTAATATATTAGATTATCCCTGTAATATTATAACCCTTAATAAAGTAACAAATACTATTTTGACATGTTGAGATTTCATCTTGTAGTTCAGATTACTTCACATTAGTCTGCCTCTGATTCAAACAAACTCTTATACACAACCACTGTTCATGTATGTGAAGTGTTTAAATATTTCAACATAAAAACCAAAACGATTTTCAGCTGAGAAAAATACAGAATTCCACACAGCCCAAGGAGGAACAACTTTTTGTAGGTTATACAAAACAGCCAAATTTTTCAAATGGCAGTCAAACTTTCTCTTCCATAGGTTTGTCTACTGAATTTTGGAAAAGATTTAAATTTTAGATTAGAAATAAGAAATGCATCTATTGGCCCTAAAGCCTGGCTGCAGTGCTCTTACAGTTAGTAGCATTAAGGCTACTTCATGCTTGGCTTGAGGAAAGAACGCAGAGAACTTCAGTTATCCATTGTGCAGATCTCAAGAATGAGGCATTCCCTAGAATGGTTGTTCTTCTGTAGCTGGACATATGGCTGGAAATACATCTTTATAGTGTATACTCATAATAGGCTTTAAACCCATGTTCAAGCTGACAGTCTTTTGTTAAAATAATCACATTTCTTAACCTTTCTATCTAAAAGGTGAGTTATTTACCTAGATACTCATCAACGTAGTTGAAAAAGATAATGCACAGAAGTCTGTTCATGATTACCTGGAGATACCATGTGTAAGAACAGAATTTAGTAATTTTTTACATAAAATCTGCATATTTGCATAAAATTATTTTAAACACAGAGCTTGGTATATAAAAAATAATTAAACATTTGGGATTTGGAACTTATACTGTGAAGTTGTACATTGGCAAGTACATTGGCAGAATCACCAATTTCACTATGCTTGTTTTTTTTAAAAATTCACACAACAGAACTCAGTTTGCACTAGGTTCACCTACTGTAGCAGGTGACATTAGGACAAACTGTGAAAGGCCTTAGTTTTTCCCATTTCCCTAATTATTTCCAAAGGTTTAAATTACATTATTTCATTGCTCCCCAAATATACATCTTTGGCAACACTGCAGTCTAAAAATCCCATACCATACACTTTCCTATCATTAGCAAGAGTACAATTAGGTGAGTTCATACAAGAGAGAAGTGTAGCACTATGGAGAAGATTTCCAACTTCAATTCTCCTGTAAGCCTCCATTTCAAGAAGTGCCATAGGAAACTGAGGTTGCTCTTCTAAATTTTTTAAATATCTCCATCTTTTTCAGAAAAGAAAAAAAATGCTGTCAAACTAATACATTATCTACATATCAGGAATCAAACACTGGGGCTCCACCTATAGCATTTAGACAAAAGACTGTCATAAGATTGATGTTACCTCAGAAGACAACTCGTTATTATTTTGTATACACATTTCCAGAGAATTCTTTCCTGAAACTGTTCTATTATCATTCAAACTTTTTAGAATTACCCCCACTGTCACGTTCCAAGCAGATAAAAAACAGTGCAACAAATCTATCGATTATGAGATCATACACGACTTTGTTTGTTCTGCAACATGCAGAGACAACCGAAGATCACCAGCAGTGAGACAAGAAAATGCTGTAACTAGCAATTACACTCATGAATTTTCAAAACAATGCGACTGCTATTTTTTCTTAAATCACACTGTGACTAAACACTTCCAACAGTCCACATCACAGCCTTGCCAATCTCATGATTTGTTCTTTTTTTTTTCTTTAGGTGTCTTTTTTAAAGTTGAAAGACCTGTCTGAAAACAAACCTATTGGATGCTTAAATGGTAGTTTTAAACACAGTAAGGAATATATTAGTCTCTCATATTATAGCCTGAGGTTGGAAACATACCAGCAGTTGTCTCCTGTATGAATCTGGTTACACAAAATGTCCAACTACACCCCTTACAATGCAGGGAAAGCTTTACAAGAACAGCAACACCCTAGTCTTTGCCATTAGCAGGGAGAGGGTCTCTCGTGTATGAAATACAAGATACAATATCTGCGGGATTCAAAGTCTCAAGGAGACTGGCTAATGACCATCAGGAATGTCAGATTCAACGCTGAACTCGGGTTGGGAAGGAAACATGCAGATTTTTTCCTTTCATTTTCTTTATCCAAGTCTTTTATTAGGCTTGTAACATGCATGTTCATTTCAGAAATATTTTAAATCTCATACAAAAGTGGTTTGGGGTGATTTTTTAATAACTGGACAGTATTAAAACACTTCTTACACAAGGCTGTGAGCCAATTTTATAAACCAGAGTACCTGGAAAACTTAAGCAGCAGTTTTTATTTCCCAGTATGTTCTCCAGCTCATTTCAAACAATCTCAGTTTTCCACAGATGAAATAAGAACTGTTCTCTCACAACTAAGTAACTTTCTTGCAGTGGGACAAGAGGCTCTAAAGCACAAAACAGGATCCCCATGAACTCTGCAAATCTTCACACCTTGTCACTCTCATTCAGTTGTTGTATATTCAGTAGTTACTCCTAAAATCATTTATAGGTCTATTTGTTCATTTAAACAGAATAAAGAAGCTGTTCTGTAAGTAATGCTGTCTTCCTTGAGACGACATTTATTCACTGAAACAAGTCTCAATTGAACAGTCTCTTTTGATAAGCTAAATATTCATTCAAACCTGAAATTATTTACAAAGCAGTTTCAGTAATTCATACCAAGTTTTCAATAAAGTATGGCCATTAGGAATGGCCATCAAGTTTATTAAATAAGAAATATTTTAGATAAGCAGTGCTGATTGTCTTCCACAGCAAGTTGTACTAGGACTCGTGCTGCTTGACCTATTCATAAGTGATCTGAAAACAGGAATTAACAGGAACAAAAATCTACTAATGATATTCACTAATTGAGAGGAGCAAACAGAAGTGCAGACTGATAGGAATTACAGAAGGATTTATGAGACAAACTGCTTGAACAGTAAAACAGAAGATGGAAATCTACATACAGTGTTACATACAAGGGGAAAAAAGAATTCTGACTTTCAATACAAAAAAAGGAAAAGCAAACCAGTGCCAATAAAGGCATAATCTTAGCATTACAATAAGCAGTAGCATGATTGCTACTCTGTGATTGCTGCTAAATTTTGAGGTAACAGAAGGTCAGAAATTATTAAGTGGAGCACAAAAAGCTTCCTGAAGTAACTGTAAAATACAATCTGCATTTCTATCTTGAATTTTGCAGGTAGTACACTTCATGTGCATACTGTTTCCCTAAAAAGTGGATACAGGACTGAAACACTACCCAGACAAGCTGTCAAGGATGCAAGTGGCATCTGTACATGGCATGATCAAGTAATCCAAAGACTCTTCCTTTTGGAAGAGAGGTAGTTGAAGATTTACTGTGAAGGCAACAAATAATGACTTCAGTCCATAATGTCAGGAGTAGCCTCAAGCTATGTAAGGAACAAGGTAGGGTTTATCCAGTGAAGGTAAAAATTACCATGTTCAATTCAGATAAAAGAATGTGGTACTGGACAGAGTTGAAGAAATCCTGCCATCTCGGTGCTGTGCATGCAATGTGTGTTTAGAGCGAGAGTACAAGTGTTCATGGAAGACAGATCTACCAAGGAAGGGTATTAGGGGTTACTAATACAGAGACAGCAACTCTGGCCCAGGAAGGCTAAGCAGAATTCTTAAGCTCTTGTTAATCCAGGGTCAGCAATTTAAAAACATTTATTCTTTTTAGCTGCAGTTTAGCATCTTACTAAATCACTGATAAAGCCAGAAAACAGTTCATTATATTGGACCACTTTCATTAACAATAACCTTTGTGCAGAAATATTTCCAGGTGAAATATTCACCATAAAACCAATTCATCAAATGGCTACTTGGTGCATGTCACAAAAGAAAAGGAGACAATACCAAGACTGGACAGTATTTTAACTGTAGGTCTCACTTTTAATACATGTTTGCATTAAAATACACATATATTTATTCAGCACCCGAGAGAAAAAGTCCTTCCAAAAGTATGTAAACATATGTATAGCCTAAAAATCTCAAGCTGAACTAATTTTTCCAAATATGAAATGGAGTGAACCATTCTTCTACAAACAGTGTTCTTCAGGTGCACATTGTGTTACATTAGCACTCGTCTGTCAATGATAAATAAGGTAATTGTTCACACTCACCTAAATATGGAATTGTTGGAACCATTTTTAAGCTTCTGATGTACTCTCGTGTCCTTTTGTAATTATCTTCTTTAGACAGTAAATAGTCTAACTTCTCAAAGGTGGTCTTGTCTTTCCGATTCAAAAGCTACACAGAAAATGGAGAAAATACATAAAATTTTCAAAGACAAATCCACACAAAACTAGGAATCAATAACTTGTTGAATTTCACAGAGTAAAGGAAAGCATAGTCTCATTAAGATTAAATTTATCATCACCATCCAAAGCAGCACAATGTTTGGAAATGTGCTACCTGTCAAGGGACACTACATGTTAAAAAAAAATTACCTACAATTTACTGTAGGTCTTAAGCTATTAAAAAACATGATCATTATTTCTGACTAATTTGTCAGTAATAACCTCAGCAATATTAAATTTTTAGAGAAAAAGTGTGTTCTAATACAGTCACCAACATTCTCGTAATTTAGCAGAGTTGCTAAAAATCCTCTGAATTTAGAAGTATGAACAGCAATGGAAAATGCTCTAAATAAATGCAAATTGTGACATTTCAACAGTACCTTATTAGGTATATGACAAAACTTTTCAGAAAAAAGTATATGGAAAGTAAATAATTGTGATATTATTACAAAGAACATGGATCCATGTTTTCTATTTATTAGACTTATTACAGAAAACTAGAAAAACAAACATGATTGTGCCTAACAAAATGCATGATATACTGCAAAAATCCTAGTCGCAGGGGGCTGAAAAGTAAACATAAAATATACAACTGTAGCTATAAGAATGCATTTCCTGTTTCAGCTGGCTTAAGAAATCCTAGGAATATTTTTAAGATGGTTTTAAAAGCCAATTGAGTTGGAGTGAGTGGAGAATTATGGCACTGTACACTGTCTTCTTGCATTGTGTCCTTTCTGACAGCGGACAGCTGCTCCATAGCACATTCCTTCATATATCTTTTCCTCTGGAAAATTCCAGTTCTTGTACTACTTAGCTTTTAAGTCTAGCTGTTAATAAAAAAAATAACATAAAAATAATAAAAATATATTAAAGCAGAATAATTTTGCTGTTTTCTTTTTAGCAGCACTGAGAATTGCTTGAGGTACTGCCACTGCAATGTATTGTATTTTTGAACTACTGTGCCTACAAAGAGCCTGGCACCTCTTTAGGTCTAAGGCAAATTAGTCACATACTTCATTTCATACATAAGCAATTTTCCCTATTTATTTCCAGCTTCAACAAGCTGCTTAAAACACCTTACTTTTTTTATTAAAGGTACTTACTTTTTTATTAGCCCATAACCTTATTCTGAGCAATTAAAAAATAACTGCAAGCATTTTAAAAACTTGAAAAATTTATCTAAGACTTAAGTATAGCCATCTTTCTTTATAAGTGCTGAACAGTCAATGTGATCCATGGTGTGTAGAATACTTAATTGATCAGAATTACCCAAACCTTTTTCTAGTTAAATGTTACATACAGTAGAAATAACCTATAACTGCATGTTCGTCTTTAAAGAAATATTTAAATTTACTCTAAGTTTTGCTAAGAAATTCTGCCTTCCAGAGACAGAATTTCTGAAAATAGAATTATCAATATTTTTCATTTCTAAAATAAATACAAACTGAAATGCATCAGACAATAATCACAAAATTAACACTTGTATATTTGTAACATGCCTTTTGCCTTCCTTTTAGGTAATGTATCAAATGACACACTATGTTTTGGATAAGGGGACACTGATACATGCTCTGTACAAGGGTATTCTAAGATTACTTATCAACAGAAGCCTTCTTGAGCGTATAACCAGTGGCTTCTAGAACACACAGGAAAGCAGGAAATTTACAGGAAAATAGATGCAGCTGTTCTTCTGCTTTTCACAGAACATTTAACCTCTGTTACCACAGTACCACAAAAACAAGAACATAAAAGCATCCTCTTCCAGAGTTCACAAAATGACAAATTTCCAAAGAACCTCAGAATTCAAACAAAACAGAAGGGACAAGGGTCAAGGCAACACTTACAGCCCAAGTTTTGGTCAGCCTGAAGATCGGTGCACTTTGCAGTGCTGACACCACAGACATAAGAGAATGAAGATTATTCAGTTCCAGAAGCTTCTGAAAAAAGGGAATAATAGCTTTTAGCACATTGGAAAGGGAAGCAGGATTAGTTAATATCAAAGTAGCATTAATAAACCACAATTTTTTAATTGATAAAATACAAAGTTTCCATCTGTCTGCAGACAAAGTATTATCCAATGCTGTCATGTGCAAGATTCTTAAGACCACTTTAAAAGTTGCCAATTTTACAAGTATATCCACCAAAATAAGAGGCATTTCAGTTTTGAGAATCCAAACAGCACTGGATTTCAGTTTGTTATTTTCTAAGGCTGTTCCTTCAGGAACAGAAAATAGGAAAAAGTATTTGTTCTTGAAAATTCATGCAATTTTGGAAATTAAAGATTTAATCAAGCAGAAACATTACACAAAGATGTTGACAACCCTCTCAGAAGTAACACATCTTTTGCCTTTGTAATCTGTTTTATATGAAAAAATTTACCTCACTTCAATGTACTTTAAATTTACTCTGTGTGTTGACAATTATTCAAAATACAACGATCTCAGGCAGACAATACTTTGGAATACAGCTGTCAAGATGATAATGCTTGCTACAACAAGCATAAAAATGTAAAACAGAAAAATGAGAATTGCTGCCATGTAGCTTCATTGTAATGCTTAAATAGAGGCTGGATTCATCCTGGAGTGATCCATTTACTCACTGCTCAGAAGCATTTAAGGAAGATCTGGACTTTATGGGGGGAAAAGCAGGAAAAGTAAAAAAGCAAGAGAAGGAAAGAGGGCAGTGTTTCCCCTTGTTCAGGCTAAAAAAACCCCAAACACCACAACTCTTATTTCTAAGAACAACCCAGGACCTACAAAGTCGAACACTCTCCTATTACTTGGACTATTTTTTTGTGCCAGTAACTTATACAGATACATTTTCTTCTAAAAGTACAAAACTGCTAAGTAAATTGATTGGAAATATGCACAGCACAAAAATTGTTTTGTACTACATGGAAAATATTATTTTAATTATCTACACCCACACAATTTCACACATACAAAATTAGCACTCGGGACTTAGATCCAAGTGCTGTGTCATTCAGGGTCATCAAAAACAGAATGACCAGAGCTTGTAAATAGTTTAAATATTTTAAAATTTTTTGTTTGTTTTAAAGTGAAGAGTAAAATGCAGTGCTCAAACTCATTAAAATAACTGAGCTGTAACAGCAGTGCTTTATACCAGCAATTACTGGTATATATACTGGTGTATATATATATATACATACATACTGGTATTCCAAGCAGGAATACCAAACAAGTCTCACAATAACTATTTTAGATGCAAGAAATTTCTTTTCATAAAAGTTAAGTTTGAAAATGGAGGGAGAAAAAAACCAGAACAATTTACAACCACATTTGATGCTGTCAACACACAAATGGCCACCGACAACCCAAACCACTTTTAAACTTGGTAGGCAGAGGTACAATATGAGTCACATTGAACTGGGTAGTTTCATCTAACCAAGTGGAAAACAACAGTTCTCATGCCTTTGTCTTACTCACGTGGTACAACATAACAGATGTGCTAAAACAGAATTGTAACTCTCTGCAATCCAACAAGGGCTCACAGGAGTAGTGCACAAACAAACAAGAAGAAATTATGGTTTTGAATGATAGCATAAGAAATTTGCACTTACTTTTGCTATTTTCACAAAGTGGCTCAGTATTTCTGCCCGTATTTTTAAGGTCTGTGCTGTTAGTATTTCTCGTACAACCCAAAAACTGACCTGTAAACACATGCAACTTTAATTTATTACAAAAAAATGGGCTTTATTAGTCAATTAGATTAAATATTTGCAAACTCTCACAATGCTCCAGGAAGAAAACAGGGTAAGGAAAGAAAAGACTTCTGATCCCACGAATTCCCATCTGTATCACTGCAATTGCCCTGAAGCATTACCACCATCAGAGATAGAGAAGTGAGACAACACCAAGATAACTGAATGAGCAAGTGAAACCCAGAAAAAAAGGGAACAAAATTGCTAATGTTGCACAACAGCAAAACAAATTAGGAACTAATAATTAGGAACAAATGGTCTAGAGGAATAACATGAAAATGTGGACAAAACAATTGAAAACAGGAGCTATCATTTAAAAATCTTAAACCTCGTTTGGAGAAGTAGGTTTTAATTCACATGAGTAGTTCTGTTTATACTCAAAGCCAACTGTCAAACAGTACCTGATCGTGACAGTAATCAAATTACATACCTGGTTAAACCTCCTAGTAAAGGCAACAATATTTGGCGCGAGGGTGTGTTTTTCTTTCTTATTCCATCCACAGCTGGCTAGTTCCTAGGAAATACATTTAAAAATTGCCTTAAAAAACAGAAATGAGTTCCCTTTAACACTAGTTCTAAATCACTCTTCCATTTTTAGAACCAGAAATCTTAGTTTCAATCAAAATGTTGTTCAACTTTCCAAACATACACTACTAATTTTAGACACCTTCACATAAAAAGGTAGAGTCAGCCAAAGAGCATTCTGCATCTGAAAAGCACTTTGTAATGCTGATAAATGGAACATACTCTAGAGATCTGTACATGCCTGTGTGAGCAGCAGGAAAAGTACTTCCAGTACCAAACATATTTTGAATCCCCTTCTCCAGCACTCAAAACTTCTGTAAATAAAAATGCCAATTTGCTTATGTCAGGACATAGACTCTCCACATGAACAGTCCATGTCTTATGATATTAGAAATCATATGTTTACATGTAAAAAAAAGTCTCAGACACTCTACTAAGAACAGCAAAATTTACCTTTGTCAGAAAAGTGGAAGAGGTCAGTAACCTAAGGATATTAAGCAGTTGCAAGAGGACTAGAGAGTAACAATGGAAAATCCTGTGCATGGCAAATTTGACTAGGTTTAAAATTCAGACCAAATAGGAAGGTTGATAAAAGTGAGTGATTCAAAATGCCCCTGCCAATTTTTTTAATACTGCTACAATATACAGTGTTTTAGAATTACACTTCATCTCTTTTTTTTTTTTTATTTGGAATGGAAAGATGCTGGCAGTTTCCTCAATGCACACAGCCACAGGGAACTTTCCCATCAAGTGTGCAAAACCGTGAAATTTGTGGAGATTGAAATTTCAGGACTTGGAAAAAAATCTAAATAAAGTTACATAGAAATCTATAACTTAAGCATAATTATTTCTGCTGGAGAACAAAGAACTGTTAACTAGACATCCTCTTTCTAAATTCTGCAAAGTAAAATGCAGATGTGATTTTCAGTAATAGCTGTTGGAGAGCAGGAAAAAGCTTCAGCAAATACCATGCTTAAAGGATGTTTGTGTGTTTGAGATAAGACTTAGCAACCAAAACTCTAAAATCTTAGGTATTTCCATCCATGTATAAGGTCACGTTAAAAGATTAACCTTAAATTTCAACCAGAATATGTGAACTTTCTTAGTCCAATAACTTACCTAATAACAATGAGCAGGTTCATGACAAATACACAGACTATTTATTGCCTTAAAACCTAGTCCTACAGTTGGCAAAATTTCAGTATAGAAAAAGTAGTTTATTTTTGGCAAACAAACTATATTGAGAATTCCAATAAAATGAAAATCAGAAAGCACAATTCATAGCTAATAGTTCATGGTAACTGCTACATATTCAAAGACCTATATTCTAGCAAAAGCTGAAAATAAAATAGTTTTCCTTCTAATCACTCCTAAGTGAGTTACATCTACTTGCCAGAATTGCACTTCAGGAAATTTCATTTCCAAAAGGCAAAATGAAGCAATGACAAAGGAAAAGAAAAACAGCAAGTCAATTGTTTTGGGGTATTTTTTGCTGTAAAATTCTATGGAGCAGGTTTCATAGCAACTAAAGTAAATGCAAAATTTGCTTTAAAAATGAACATCTATAATTTCGTATTTTATTTTTTAGTTCATTCATCTCCTCAGAGTATGACACTACCTCTGCTTTTGGAAAAGGTAGTTAGAATAAAAACCCCCTCCATTTAGTTCTGATATTTGTCTAAATAAAACTTCCTCATGGAAAAGCAGCTGTATATCAATTTGTACATAGCGAAAGTTTTTTGTTAGCAGATTTTTCTATGGGTATTGCTAATTTCTTATTGCGTTACTAGTTTGCCTTTTTTTTCCCACAGGAAAAAAGTCTCCCCAGTTGCCTGGAGCACACACATAATTTCAGAAGCATGAAAGTGTTTTCAGCTATAAAATTGTCCTCGTGTTCTTGGGGGGGAAAAAAAAAATCTGACAGGAAGGACAGAAAACAGATAGTATAGGAAGGAAATAAAAAATTTGTCCTGCTCAAAATAGAAGTCTGCTAACCTCTCTGAACCATTATAATAAATGATGACTTGTTTTGTTAGTGAGCAAATTAGGTGGCTAGAGCTTCCACTAAAAATCTTCTAAACTTGACTGCCCCTACTGATGTCAGAAATTCAGTTCTGCTGACATTATGGGGTAGCAGGAGCTGCCCTTTATATAACCACAATATTCCAATCTTAGGACAAGAAGACAAGCCACAATGGACACAAGTACATGTTCTTATAGTAAAACACCTGAAGCAGGAATTACATGATTCTTGTACCTTTTGCATTAATTAAATCCATCATATTTTTACACAAATTTGTTATATTCTGATAACTATTTTTATTCTTCATTTCTCAAGTTCTTATTACTGATTTTCAAATGTCTGTCTGTTACCTTTGACTGCTTTTCCTCAACAGGCCTCAAGTTCCCTTCTGTGTCTTTCTTAAAGGTTAAAATCTTAAAAGACAGTAATACACTAACTTTTAAGGATTTGGGATGATTTATTCCCAGCATTTATTATTTTGAATCTTAAAAATGATCACACAAATTAAAAATCTTATCAAGCAGCTGATGCAACCTAAAAATGAGATTATGGCCAGAGGCATTAGTCAAACTCTGAAATCAGGTATGAATTGAAAAACAGCAACAGAAAGGAGAACAGAGAACTTTTACACTTGATAAACTTATCCTGAAGAAACACTCCACCACTCAAAACAAGACAAGAAGACTTCAGAAATACACAGTCATCTCCTTTGGCAACAGATGAAAAACCAAGGTAACTCATGCTGGATTACAGATTCACAGTGCTAACAGAGAATATGACTAGAAAAACATTAGTGTGCTGCAAGGTGAGCATTTTTGAACAAAAAAGCATTATTTGAACCATCACATTTCCTCAGGCACTGAATTCCAAAGATGTAAGCAGATGGTTTAAGAAAACCTACCTCAGGCTGTATAGCTTTAAATACAGGCATATCCATCAATGTTATCTGGCTCTGCAATGAAGAGAGAATTTTATATCATGTAATATCAAGAGCTGATAGTGATGTATTTCCAGCTGTCCTTTAGTAATTACAAGCCATACACATATTCCTCACTGACCAGAACTAACCTATGCTAAGATCGCCTAAAAGAATTTAAAAATTTCAAATGACTTTATACAGTAAAACAAATATGCTGTGTCAGGTCAGTACTAAATGACTAAATCCCAAGACAGACTTATTTCATTGAAGTTGATAAAGGTAGAAATTTGTTTTAAATAAACAAATCTTTTAAATAAACAAAAGTGTTCCTGAAAAGATTTTTTTTTTTAAGAAAAAAAGATTACATGTATTTTTTAGTACTCTATTAGCCCTGAATATTATACAAGTTTAAATGCAAAAATAACATTTGTACTTACAGCAAACTCCTCAGGAGTTACTTTCAACACATCAAATATGACTGCATCGTAGCTTTTATTGGCATAATCTGAACTTCGCCCTTCCAGAGAATCCGAGCTGCTACTACCCTACAAAGAAAGAATAGTAGGCTTATCTGCAGAATGATGAATTTCATCTACAAATCAGGAAATAAATATGTGCAAAAATACTACGTAATGACAAGAAAATGTATGAACTTCAAGAAGTTTGACACCAAATTATCGAATTTAGTTTTGCACTGTGCACTAATGTTTTCAACTTCCTTTGGCAAAAACTACAATGACATAAAATTTTAGCTGTATGACATTTTCAGCTTTAGCAAGCCATTAGACTAAATTAAAGAACTGCCACACAAAAGGAAATGTGTTGAGATTTTGAAGATTCATTTTCCATAGGATTTTTAAAATTAAATGCACAAAGAAAAGAGTAGGTAGATCCAAGTCAAGATGTTCTATCCACATTATAACAATGGGAAAATTGATACATCCTGAAATTTAACCTGCACACTACTGATTAGGAGAACCTGACATTTGTACAGGTCAAACCTAAGAAGGGAATACAGGGGAATTAGCAGAAACACAGAATTATGTTGTATCAGGAAAGTGCCAAGTCAGTGTCTCTAAAAGAGAAGCACTGCCTCAGTATCTACTGAGGGTAGTGAGTAAAGGATCAAGATTAATAGTCTTGTTAGACTTCCAAAAGATTTTTGATGTTGTTCCTCACTCCAAAGACATTAAGCCCAAGCACAGGGGCTTGCAATGTCCTTACAATGATAAATAATTAGTTACAAGGCAGCTGTTACGAGCACTGAAAATATATGAATGTGAAGAGAATTATGTATAGATAAGTGACGTTTATTATATATTCAACAATCTGGTAAACCCTGTAGAATTATTAAAAACTATGGATCTTCATTTATTTAATGTGCTAAAACAAAAAACCTGGCAATGAAAGACTGAAATGGGTTGTCACAAGATTTGATTAAGTCTGGAAAAGCAAAAATAAAAATATATAACAGATTATTAATATGCTCCTTTATAAATCCAGGTGCACCCAACTTTGGAATACATATGCAGTACTACTGTCCATCTTAAAGCTGAAAAAGAGTTTCTCCAATCCCACATTTAAAATGTGCACTTTACAGGACAAACTTTACTGTTGCTGATTAGTAATATTTCATCATAATATTAGATGAAAGCAAAAACCTAGAAAAAGTCCAGCAGCTAATTCCCAAGCAGTGTTCCATTGGCTGTCATGGAGCGACAAACAGCCGTTAACTGCGCACAGCAGCTCAACACAGCATGAGGCAGCTTTTGGAAGTAGCACCAAAGAGCTGCCTGGTCTCCAAAGGATATAAACATTAAAATGAAGAAAATCTTAGAGCACTTTCTCACAAGCAGACCAGTAAATTAAAAAGAAGAAAAAAAGAAAAAAAAAAAAAAAGAGAAAGATAAAAGGGGGGGGGGGGAAGGAAAAAATGCAGCTGGATATTTCTGGGTTCTATTTCTGACTGACTCCATTTTGATTACATTGCTCTGAGCTCACTAATAATACATGCTCTAAGTTACAGAGTAACAGGTCAAAAATGTTATTTAAAACTAAACAAAGTGAGTAATCATCATCAACAACAATAAAAAAACACATCTGTGAACACCACAAGCCATGGAGTGTTCTCCAATTACTCTCCTGCCATGTTTCTTTGCCTTACAAATGGTGTGGTATTTTACCAGTAGTGGAAAGGGCTTCTGTGAAAGCTGAAACAAGCCAAAATTTCCATTTTGGTACAGAAGCCAATAAAACCCAAGGAACTGTACCTCTGGAGTGGCGGAGGTGACCATCACATTGGCCATGAGGTCATTCCTTTTATACATGCTCTCCACAAGATGCAGGAAGTTTCAGCTCAGCCACCACTGGCTGAAAACAGAAATTCCTGCAAAGCAAATTATTTGTGGAATAAATAAAATTTATAAAAAAACTGAAACACGCACAGAAAATAACCCAGCAATACAAGAGATTTAATTTTTCTTTCTCAGAGCAAAGAACTTGGGAGATAGATGCTCTTTTCCAGGTACCAACTCTGAAGGAGTACAACTGAATATTGCTAAAGCCATGCCAAGTCGTCACCCCTAACCTCCATTCAACTCAAGAAATGCAGGGGAAAAAAAGTGTATTATTTGCCATTAATGTTGAATTAGGTTTTATATGAAGTCCCTCCTAGGCAGGACAAAGTCTCAGAAACCACAGGCTACCACAAACTGCTTACAGAACTAGCAGGTCAGCTGAAGCTCTCATTCTCTTTAACTGAGGAAACAGCATGGTTGTGTCATCATTCCCCACAGCACACATGCATGAGCCCATGGCAGGCACTGCCACTGATTCCTATGCATGGACTCTTCCAGCAAAATCTGGAAGTTGCTCACATGTGCAGCAAGGGATATTGCCACATCTCCCCCTGCAGCTTCACGTTCCCTCCCACAACACTGATCACACCAATAGAAAAATTCTGAAAAAGCAAACAGCTAAGAATAAAAATAATCTCTTATATTACTCCTTTTTGAATGATGAGGTCTTCACTTCTCATTCCTATAAAGACTAAGAATTCTTCCCAGGATCTCACATAAAACAAGTCACTAATTTTGCTTCAAATAATGCCAAAATCTTCTTTGCTAAACAAGGCAAGATTCAATTTCTTTTCTTCTTATAAAGTTAACTCATTTTGAGCATTAACAGGCTGCTAAGTATTTCTAGGTCTGGAGTTGTTCTTCTTAATAGTCCTTACAATCCTGAAGTGGAAAGTAATTCCACTTATAATCTACTTACTGTAGATGTAATTTCTTTAACATGTGGCATTTACATTAAGGCCACAAAAATATTCTTGTGTCCTCCATCCCTGCCTTTCTGAATAGGTTCTCCAGGGCATGAGGAATCAATAATGCTGTGAAAGGGAAAGAAAAATCCCGTATGTGAACTTGTACTATGCTCAAGTTCAGTTTTACACCAAGTTTTAATGTTCATTATATCAAAGTGAGACAAAAATGCTTTAATACCTAAACCCAAAAGCACTAGTATACTTTTGCCTTTCAACATTCAGCACATACATAAATCTTGCAAGGCTAGAAACTTTCATTCTAGACAGGATCAAAATAGATTCCTCTTGCCTTACCCCCCTCCCCCCAAAATGTTCCAAATATAACACAAGCATTAAAAATGCACTGCTTCTTCCTATGTGCAAAGATTTCTCCAAGATTCACATCTGTGAAAAAAATACTTCTCTACACACCCACTTGTTTTGCTACCTTCATGACAGTCATAGAAATCTATTATCCTTTTAAGTCAAGTCCACTTGATCATTTGAAGTGTTTCCTCACCTGCAGAAAGCATCACTGCACACAAAGTAACACAGGAGCTAATATTAAGCCCACAGTATGAAGAGGCTGTCAGACAACATAAAGAAAGATACCAAAACAATATTCCCCTTGCATATTTCACAACAACAAAATTAAAAATTCTGAAATTCTAAAACTTATCAAAGGCCCAAAATGTTTGCAATAAAAGGCAAAAAGTCACTAAAATGACATAAATCGACAGACAAGCTTCTTTTCACTGCTTTTCATTCATACAATTTCTTTCAACTTTCTCAGGTTAATCATTAAAATGATGCATTACATAAACAATACTAAAAGTCAAAACTAAGAAAACACCTTCTATGTTTGCACGGAAGGTTCACAGGCACACTGCAGTAGATCTCCTTCACAGGCTGCCAGAAGCAAAGTGGATAAATCAGGATGCAAACATGCATATCACCAGAGGTTGTCTGTTCTTCTTTGCCAATTTGATAGCGCTCTCTGAAGCAAAACTGAAGACAGTGCAAAAACAACTGGAAAAAAACCACAAAAATACCATCATCAAAACCAAGCACAGAAGTAAACCTTAGAGCCATTATTTTAGCAGCATTTGTAAAATCTTGTTATCAATGCCACAGAAGCAACATTCTCCGAAAGCAAAATGACGATTTTATACTGCTGTTAGTAACGTGCATGTAACGCAGTCAAAGTGCCCTTAAGTTCAGTCTCAGTACTAGTTACCCAACTCACAAGAAAGTCAGAGACTCTTAAGCACAGAAAACCACTTCTGGCCAACAAAGCCCCTGTGTGCTAATTTCTGAATGCTAGCAGAGCAATCTAAGGAAGTCACTGACTGTTCACATTGCTTTCAGCAAATAAAAAAATAACCGTGTCAGCAACCACTGATGACCGTTGTTCTTAATTTATTCTACCATTGGAGGGGAAAATGCTGAGTTTCTTACTAGCCCTAATTCAGCCATTCCAGACTCCATAAGTCAACTGGCTTCACTGATTTGTTTGAAAAACCATTTACTTAATACTTTCCTTAGCTGATTATGGTTTTCCTAATACCACTGAATCATGAACCGAGAGCTGCAACATGCTTTTAAGAAAATATACTTCAGCATTCTAACAAAAGATAACTGTCCTTTCTTAAGTTAGCTGGACACCTGGTTCAGTGAAAACAAAGTGCACTAGGGCCCTACCTCAACACTGATAAACTTGGTTAGAACCAACAGAGGTAACCAGTAGGGATTTGGTTTATTTTAAAACAATAAATTTAGAACAGATTAGTTCCAGTTGGATGAGGCATACAATGATCATCTAGTCTCACTGCGTGACCACTTCAGGGATGACCAGAAGTTAAAGCATGTTATTAAGTGCACTGTTCAAAGGCTCTTAAACACTGACAGGCATGAGACACCAACCTCATCTCTAGGAAGCCTGTTCCAGTATTTGAGCACCCTCCCAGCTAAAGAAATGCATACTGATGTTCAGTTTGAACCTCCCCTGGTGCAGCTTTGAATCATTTCCATATGTGCTGCCCCTGGATTCCAGGCAGAAGAGATCACCGTCTCCCTCTCCACATTCCCTCTCAGGAAGCTGCATAGAGCAATGAGGTTGCTGCTCAGACTCCTGTTTTCTAAACTAGATAATCACAAAGCCCTCAGCTGCTCCTCAGAGGATATGCCTCCCAGAATTTGGAATCAGACATCAGAATGGTTAACTGGCATCGATCGAGATAAGGGGATGAAGAACACCTAAAACAATCTTGCTTTTTACCTTCAGCAAGACCAACACTATATTACTACATCCCCAGGCAACATCCAGCCTAAAGACACATTTACAACACACCATATAGAACTCATATTCAGTTCTGAACAGTTTTTCGTCATTGCATTGATTTTCCTTTTCCTCATTCCTAAACTATTCTTCCAGATGTTCACCACTAGAACCTTTCTTTCCTTGAAGAACCAAGAACAAAGTCATACTCAGATGCTGTGGGCATAGAGTACAAACAAAAGTATGTTAGCACAGCTAACTAGTGGAAGAAAAGGATTCTATTATGAAAACAGAATGAAACGGTAACAGGGTTATATTTTTGCCCCCTGCTTGCAATCAGTCACTGATGTGACACTTGTATCACCATCTACATCATGTCCAAGTTCAGCTCTCTTAAGGGCAGGGTGGTGGCTGGGGAGAAGCCCCATCTTTTTCTTCTATTGGTAATAAAGACAAAAAGGCAAATACCACTGCAGTATCTAAATCAATACACTGCTTGTTCTCTGTATCCTAGATGTTTACATACCTTTTCCTGCCCTCTCATTAGGTTTCTTTTAGGTCATTATCACAACTTTAATTAAAAGAAACAAAGAAAAAGAAGTAAATGCAAAAGGATTTCAAAATCCTTTTGAGCTTGCACAATTTAGAAACTGTTTGTCATTGCAGTGACAGAGTAAACCATCCTGGAAGGATTTGTAGAGAATTTCTTTACATCTTTCAAAGTAGCAGCTGCTGAGTGCTACGTGGATACTTGCTAACCTAGAGAAACACAAACCTCAAAAGCACTGAGCAACACTGATGACCAATTACTTCTTGACAGCATCCATCCTGTCCCAAAAGTACAAACACAATGTATCTTCACTTGTGCCCCATCCAGTAAGTACCACCTCTCTCAAACCCCATTTCTCAACCCCTCACATATGATTCCTGGAAAGTGGAGGGAAAAAGGATCATATCTCCTAGATTATAGAAATTACCTATATGAACCCCACTTCCTTCAGAAAATAACTATCTGTATGGCACTCTGAGCCCTTTTATGACACACACTTCATTTACAAACACAGATATGACACCAGACAGTTGAGCTGTGTCAATAGTCATACTGCTTTACATGAAAAATCTCTTAATTTCAAAAAGTCTTTTTGAAGTAATTAAACATTAGGCCTTGGTGGACATTTTGCACAACATGAGAAATTCTAGATTATTTGAAAGCCTGGATTTAAATAATATTTGCCAACTAACAGTTTAGTAAGAACAAAGCAATTAGGCTACAGAAGATTAGTCACAGAAATGTGATGGCTTTTTACAGATCTTCCAAAGTAAATGCTTGTGTATTTTCAGTATCCATTTCATCAGAAGTCCCTAATATATTTCACTGTGCTTTAGGCAACAGTACCACCTATAGATAAAATACACTATGAACAATTTCATATGAGCAGTTTCATGCACATCCTTTTCTGAGAAACTTCTTACTACAGTTAATGATGAATAACAAAAAATGTAACAGGAATAACAAAAAATGTAACAGAAATAACATGGGGATGTGGATTAATTCAGCTGACCATAAACTGAAATCCCTCAAGCAAATAACTATTCCTCAATAACATGCATTGTCCCTGAGTAAACAGGTTGAAAAAAACTGAATCTTGACAATCTTCCAATAGCTGACAATGGATCAAGTCTAATTCAGGAAAAAGCACATTCAAAGTTGACTTCCCTTTCTAAAATTTTCTCAACTCTCCTGCTTCCACCCCTCCAGTGCACGTACTCAAATGAGTTTGACTTTGAGTAGAGAAATAGCTGCTGTGATGAGTTTAAGAAACAACTTCAGAACCCAAGTCCTAAACTCTTGGGTTTTATGAATACACAACTGATTTGAATTATATCTAACAGTACATTAAAAACAACACCTAATGCGCAGGTCATGCATTTATGACATGTTTTACTTGACTACTCACATGTTACACTAGACTGTCATCAGTCCCTTTGCTGTCACTATGCTGCCCTACAACAATTAAAATTTCAGCTTTTCAAAGTAACTGTCATAGGACAACTTGGATACAAAGACATCTGTGTCATTCACTACACCAAAATAGTAAGCTCACATTCTACAAGTTGAATAAAAATAAGGTTGTCTTATTTTTCAAAATTATAATGAATGCAATGTCTCAGTTTTCTACTTTAAGAGCTGTATGCAAAATATCCTAACAAAAGGCTGTCAAAAATTATTTCAAATCTCACAGAATCCTCAGCCGCTAAAACCATGAATGAGTAGGAAGCTTACAATGCTGGCTTGAATGTCCCATGCTATTTTTCTAATTATCAAAAAATCAAAAAGTCATTACCCTTCAAACAAGTCTGCAAACTTGAATAACTTAGAAGACACATGTTTAGGGAAGTTATACTTTAAGGGAAGCTTCATGGAACAGTTACAGGAAAAGAAACATGTACCTGCAAATTATAGTAAAATACTACTACAACTCAAGTTTCCTAAACAGAAGAGAACTGACAGGCACTTCCATGATCTCTGATTATCAAATATAAGTGAAAATATTAAATACCTGTAACTTTAAATACAATTGCATACTTACAGTGGAATAAGACAGCTCTGCTCTCAACCCATTTTGCTGCACACCTCCATTCGTCTGTTGCTGGGTCTAGCTCTGGCTTTTCAGCAGTTTTATCTCTTGTTTAAAAGCATAACATTCCTGTAAACATCAGGAAACAGGATTACAGTGACATTTATTTTACAACTCGGTTCTTCTCAGACTGGGCACTCCTCATCTGAAACATGCACTCTAATACTTTTATTCTTACCTCTCCCTCACAGCTTTCATTGTTAGTTCCCCATTCTAGTTCCATTGGTATATGATAAATTCTCAAACTCAAAAGAACTACATACACATCACAGAGGGAAGAGCAACTTATTATAAATTTCATAGCTAAATATACTCTGAATATGTGCTTGTAACTCTTCCTCAATGTCAATCAACACAAAGGTCCAAGCCAACACGTATTGTTTATTGGTTTCACTCATTTCTTTCAAGGTGCTTTATGAATTGTAAATGCTAGTCATCCTCATACCATTTTCTTCAAGGCTTAACTAAACAAAGCAAAATGGACACAAGCCATAGCTCTTCCACCAAACATGATCAGCAACAAACCTGAGAAAAGTACTGCTTAGGTAACTCATTTTGGTAACATTTATAGTAGGCATAGCCCTTCCTTTTTCTCCTCTTTTGCCTTATACCAACTTTTATAAAACATAATGTTTAATAAAATTATGCATCAAATGAGAAGAAAATAATCTCAAAGACAGCTTGTTTTATATAGACTGACATGAAAACCCCATTAAAGCCCATGTTGTTTTGATAAAGGTAAAAAACATTGCAGATCAATTGGTGTTACAACTATGCCTCTACTACAGTCTCTATTTTCCTTTCATCATTAGGGAACCTCCACCTTAAAAAAGTCTGTCTTCTAGACTATAACTATATATAATTCCAACTGGCATCAAAGCAAGCTGTCTTTTGCTGGAAAAGCAGTGTTCTTTTGGCACATCCAAAACTCATCCAGTAGGCACTCCTTGAGTGAGCAAATGATCCTAGTTCATAGAAGAATCAAAATAACAAGTTAAAAATGGGTTAGCATCCACTTAAGCATTTCAATCAAATTACAGACATGATGCCTGTTGTCTGCCCTGCATCGTGTGCCACTTTAGTAAAGGGCAAACCTTGTAATTACTATGCACCTGAACTTCTAGATGTCTTCCCTTCACTAAAATAAGGTAATGAAACAGAAAAATGAACAACATAACTTGGTTTAAAAGTGTTTTGTAGTTACTTTGCTTCAAACTGGTGCTACATCATGCAAGATGGGCAACATACAGAAAATGAACAAACAAGTGTGTGTAGTTCTGCCCTTTACAGCAGCTTCCTGTCCTTCACAAACATGAAGAGTATCTATTAGGCATGGCATGAATGATCAACAAGAGAAAAAATATCTGACTGTCAAAGTTGGACATAAAAGAAAGATTGCAACATTCATAGATAAGATTTCTGAGGCAAGGAATATCCTTCTGTATTTCAAAGACACCAACACACTTCAATTTTTTCAATAATTAGTATGACAAGAACACATATACTCTATTGCTCTATTTTGTTGGGTTCAGAACAACAAACCACAGATAGAAAGCACCATGTACGTCTATAACCAAGAATTTCAACATCCACTCCTTCTCCATCCACTACCTGCCAAAGCCCCAGGCTGACATAAGCCTGCAGAAGCTAGACCAAAAGCTATCTGAAGTGATTTGAAAACAGACGGCAGTCAAGCCTCTTAACAAGACCCTGACGGTTTCATCCGCATGATATGCAAATAGTTTTCAAATTTATTCCGAAAGACACGGGAGGGCGTGGCCAACCCTAGGCGGTTTCCCTGTGCTCCCCCCACACCCCATATCGGTACCAAGTCCGCTCCCGCTGTCCGCCCGCACTCGCGCCGCGCGGCACCGACCGCACGTGCCCGCTCCGCTTCAGCGCCCCGGGCCGACTCCGGAGCCCCGGCGTCGACATCGCCCGGCGGGGACGGGCCCGGGCCCTCTCCAAGACGAGGCCCGGGGACTGTCGGGCGCTCGCGAAGCGCGGAAGCGCCGCCATCCCCTCCAGAGCCCGGCGCCCACCCCGCCTCCCGCGCACCTGCCGCGCCCCGCGCAGGAGGCGCCCGGACCCGCCACGGCGGGCGGCGCTGCGGCAGCGGCCCACAGTCCCCTCGGGGCACGGGAGCCGCCGGCCTCCGGCAAGTGGCGCCTCCGGAGGGTGGGCGCCCGTCCGGGCCCGTCGCCGCAGAGCTCCGCCCGCAACACACGCCCGGAGCGGGGAAGGCAGAAGGCGGAGGGACGAGGGGCTGTGGCGGCCGGCCCCACCTTTTCTGCGGGGCACGCGGGGTTCGTCCGCGGCTCACCTGTTCGGGGCTCGATGCCCCCAGCGAGCTCTCGGTGAGGGGAGGTGCCCTCAGCGCCGCCGAGGACGAGGCCCGGCCCGGCTGGGGACCGCGGGGCGGAGCCGGGGCGCGGGGAGTGACGCGCGCGCCAGCCAACTGTCTCCCCGCACGGGAGCGCGCGCCAATGGGCGCGGGCGGGGCGGGAGCGCGCGAGCGCAGGTGCTGCTGCGCCGTCCTTGGCCGCGCCCGCCCCGCGCGCGCCCCCTGGCGGTCACAGCGCGGCTGCGCACGCGGCTCCGTGAGGGCGGCGGGAGCTCGGGGTCGGGCCGCGGGGCGAACCCGGGGGTTCGGGCAGAGCTTCCGAACAGCCCGAGTGTTCCTCCCGGCAGCAGCCCGGCCCCGAGCGGAGGGTCTGGCCGCTCCCGGAGAAGAGTCAGTCAAGTGCCGTTCGCTCGCGTCCCTTCGCCGCAGCACGGGCTACGGCTCTCCCTTCCCCGTGCACCGACAAACCTCTCGGAACCTCCAAGCTGAAACCGGGATCACGTTCGGGTCCGGGTGATGATACTGCAGGGCACTGAGCGCTTGTGTTCTTCCGAGGCAATCAAACAGAGCTTTGTGGGCTTCTTGGTAATTGAGAGTGGTACTTGAAGCTACGAGGCAGAAGGATGGAGCTCCCTTCTCTGATTTACAGCTTCTCTAAAAGCAACCTTCAGGCACAGTGTGTGTGTCTACACTGTAGGCATCACTACAGGAAAACACTGGCTCCGTGGACTCCTAGCTAGATGCAGTATTCCACCCAGCCCATCAGGCTGGCCTGCAGGTTCGCATGTTAGAGAACAAAAGTCTAGTGAATGTGTGCAGAGGAAGCTTTGAGATACTGCATGATGAGCAGAATACATTTAGAAGGTGTCTTTCTCCTGGTTACTAAAGGTTTTATAGTGCCTATCAAACTCAGAGCAGTTTAAACATTTTCAGATATCACAACTGTGTATGAGCCCGCCTTTCAAGGCAGAAAATTTCAGTTTGAGAATAAACTATAAAAATAAGATTTGAGATCTGCTTTCAAATTCTGATGCTCACAACACCAATAACTATATCAAAGCCAAAGGCACTATGCAGAAGGTATTTTCCCTACACTTCCCTCCCCCTTAGAGAGGCTAAAGAAAATTAATTTAATTTGAATCTCCAATCATTTAATATACTATTCTTATTTGAGTTTATCCTATTGATGTACTGCCAAGCAACACATTTTCCTCTAATACTTACAGCATCAGTTCCCACTAGAGAAAAAGTACAGAATTCTCTGGTAAAATGCTTTCTGCTCTGTGCTGTATCACTGTGCCAGGACATTAAAACAACTGTCTATGGGCTACAGTCTTTGAAAAATATACATTAGTTACTGGTATTTCTACAGGTCTCATGCAGTACAGCAGGACAGCCTCTGAAATCCTGGGTATAAACACTGCTCTGCTAACAATGGAATCACCCACCACCTTCTCCTCTTGAAGGTGTCATAATGAAGACTGCAAACCTTTTTTTTTGTTCCTATTTTAGGCTTCTGCTATGTACAGTGCCTTAAATGACCCCTATATAACATATTTTTTAAAATCAGCCAGCACCCTCTGGTGGAAAAGAATGCATAGACAAGTAATGTTACTTTAGACAATGTCATCAGCCATATAATTTCCCTAAATTTTAATGAAATGTTTCTTTCTATAATTCAACTGACTTTTGACATAATATTCAATTTAAAATTTTTCTAAACTCATGCACAATACAAATGTACTATGCTATTTAATATAGTTCATGAAACATAGCATCCATGGGATTTGGCTTCATTTTCTCTGCATAATTATTGCTGGAAGAGTATAAGCTCTGTGTGTCATTTTCGTTGGCTATTCTAACTTCCCCTCAAACTGTTTTCAGGAAGTTTGCATTACAAAAAGTTAAGCAATGGGGCCTATGTCTGCATGTGCACAAAGATCAGGTGAACAGAACTGTTTTTCTAACCTAAACCATTTTTTTCCTTAGCTGTCTCAACAAAACTTTTTCACAAAATCTTTGTTTTCTATTTTCTGCTTTGCTGAAAGTGGTATTTCATAGCACTTTTAAAACAAGTATTCAATCTCTGTGTCTGTTTTTTCCTTGATGCTGAATTTAGATGTGCCAGCTAGGATGAGAATTCAGGTATTTCAGAATATTCATAGAATCAGACTGATTTGGGTTGGAAGGGACTTAATCTCATCGCATTCCACCTCCCTGCCATGAGGAGAGACACCTTCCACTGTCCAAGGGTGCTCCAAGCCCGGTCCAACCTGGCCTTGGACACTTCCAGGCATCCAGGGGCAGCCACAACTTCTCTGGGCACCCAGTGCCAGGGCCTCCCCCCACCACCATCACAAGGAAGAATTCCTTCCCAGTATCCCATCTAACCCCACCCTCTGGCAGTGGGAAGCCATTCCCTCTTGTCATGGCATTCCAGGTCCTCATCCAAAGTCCCTCTCCAGCCCTCCTGGAGCCCTTTTAGGTGCTGGAAGGGGCTCTGAGGTCTCCCCAGAGCCTTCTCTTCTCCAGGTGAGCACCCCAAGCTCTCTCAGCCTGGCTCCAGAGCAGAGATGCTCCAGGCACCTGATCATGTCCGTGGCCAGTGCAGCAGTTTGTTTGTCCCACTCCTAATAGTCAGGTCTTGTTTACTCCATTCTGCATTCCTTGAAGTTTCAGACCTTACAAGGGGATTTGAAGGGAGGTTTTGCTGGAATAGTTACCCTGACACCAACAGGGACTCAGGGACTAACTCACTCAACTCCAAATCCCACTGCCAGTCAAGATAACCATGGCCTACAGCTGCACTGGGGCTGCTCCTGTTAAATTCGAGGTTGTGGGTGAGGAGGGGTGTACCTACACTCGCTGGGAGCAGCATCAGCCCTACTGATACATGTGGCAGAACATAAAACAAAACTGCTGCTGTAGGAATGAAGCAGCGTGTCCCTCTTCAACAGACCTGCCTTGGAACGGCATGGATGGATTGCCACCACCTGGCTGGACTTTTTGTTTTGCTCTGAAAATTGGATGAGGTTTTGGAGCGCACAATGCAAATGATAATCTTAGTCCTAATTAATCTAAGTAATTAATGCTGCCAAAACAGAGAAACTTCAAGAGTAGTTGTCTCTAAAGACTTTTGATTTCTAGTTGGCAGATCAGTATTAAAATGCTTCTCGTAACACTTCAGTAAGCAGCACCTAAAATGTAAGCCCCTTAGTAATTAAATATCTAAATGTAGACACTGACACCATAGATTTGCTCTAGAAGCATTTTAATTTACAAACAGCAATTCCGATTGACTTTATACCATAAAAAAAGCTATTTACAAGCAAGAAACAAACTCATCAGAACAAAATAAAGCAGCACAGAAATATTCATGTCACAAATCTAAAAACAAAGTGAATACAAGAGTAAAATATCATTTGAATAAATATTTTAAAGTTCATGCTGTAAAATAATCCTTAATGGCAAGTTACTAATTCTTACAGCATCAGCTTAGCTAGCTTCATTTACTTCATGTGGCGATGAAGTGCGGAGGTGTGAGGTTCCTGGTTTATATTGCAAGATAATGACACCAAGTCAAGTCATTCAAACTGTTCAATTATTTATCTTGAAAAATAACCATACAAACAAAAGTTATTTAAAAATACAAATTTTCAGTCAGAAACAAACACTGTTAAAATCGTGCAAGAGCTCTACCTCCAACCAGATCTAGAACCAGAGGTTCCTGGGCTGAGTCCAAAGGCTGAAACCCTGGCCTGTGGGAATGGGACTCAGCAGTTCTGCATCTGCCATAGCAGGAGCGAGCTACAGGAGCAAAAAGCAAACCTGCTCAGTCAGTGATACGTGGCTTCACATCCCCTGAAGAAATACAGGAACACATGTCCCAGGCTTACTTATTTGTTTAGCTTTTTTTATTTTTTTAATGTAAACTTGCGTAACTTAAGTTAATGCTGCCGCAGGGATGCGCAAGTAGTATTAAATCTACAATATTAAATACAAGTATTCTGGCACTTGATAAAATATATGTAAAATGCACACAGATTATAAAGTTTGAACATTTTGAATGACTTTACTAAACTTCCAATTTGATCACTGAGTATTATGAAATTTACAATTCATGAAATAAAGAGATTCATATAAAGGATTTACATAATTCCCCAAATACTTTCAAATATAAAATTTAATAAATAACCCTGACCAGTCAAAAAGCACCATTCAAGGGTAAAATTCCCTTGGAAAATAGATTAGGTGTTGCATATTTGAGTCCCTTTCAAGGTTTCATGTGAAACCTGTTTAGAAAAATGACAATAAAAGAATCACAGTAAACTAATATAAAAATTCAAATTATATATATATTTAAAGGTAAAGCTTATTCAATATTTTCCCAGCCCTTGATTTTATTCCTGTTCTTCTTCCCATAATTCAGCCTTAACATATTAAGAGGCCTCATTGTTTTGTCTAGAAGTAAACCAAAGGCTTCAGCATAAAACATGGATCTATGCTGGGGAAGACTGCATTAAAACTTTCAATTTAGGCCTACAGTCTACCCTGCTGACAGTGAACTGACAGTATCCTTTATGCTACAGAAAGATTTCACACTCAGAAAGCAGTGCCAATCTCAAGGCCTTAGTGACCAAACTGAACTTTTAATACATTGTAAGTATTTACAAAGCTATTTTCTAAATGTATTTACAAGTTTAAAAGAAATAATATGGAAGATAATTGATAAAGAAAACTAAAATAATGGTTTTAAACCAGAAACATAAGCAAAGGTATAAAATCCTTTATTTTCACAGTTTGGGTTAAGCATCTAGAGGAAAGGACACTGTCACTGTTTTCACATTTGTCTAGAATTAAAAAGGTAGATTAACAAGAGACTCAATTATGAACCAGCCTGTATAATTTCATTACTTATTTTGCTGTCAAATATTTCTTCACATATTTTATTGACTTCTGCATTTATTGTAAATGAAATGTGTAACAGCTCTGTGCTGAGAACTGCACAGACACTGCACAAGGTTTCCACCGTTTGCTAAAGCAATGGCCTCCTGCTCGGTGGGCTGGTGACACAAACTCCATCATGACACCTCGTGTCTGTGACAGCGCTGATCCTGGCACCCCACTGTGTGACAAGGCACGGTGGCACCGCTGCTGCCAGGGGTGACGCCGGTGTCCGGGAGAGCCGCGCGCGGGGCGCTGCCGGCCGCAGAGCTGGACTATGGCTTGGAGGCAAGAACGCTGCCCGCCCGAGCTGGGGCGAGCAGGACTTGCACACTGCTGAATCACGGCTCCTAGAAAAACGGATCATTTCCTGCCCCTTAACAGTCTGTTACAATGTATTGAACCTGAACCTGTACAATCAACGCGATGGTTTTTTTTGTTTGCTTTTGTCTGAGACAATTTTGGATAAGTCACTCTTTGGTAAACTCAAACCATTTTAATACATTTACAAATACAAAGAACTAGATTCAAATAATGCTAAGATTGTGACACAGAGAAATTCAAGAAATATAAATTTATACCCATATCCTGCTATCCTCAAGTCATCCTTCCAGGGAAAAAGTCACACCAAAGGCACCACAGCACAGGTTCAAGATAAAGGGTTAAGAATAACTGTACATTTCTTGGATTTTGCATGTCTCAAACTTAATTTACCAAAACACACTTTTTGCATTTAATTACTTAAACACTCAAGGAAAAAACTGTATCAGAAACACCATGTTTTTAGGTGGGTAAACATACAGACTACCTGCCTTAGACATAGACTATCCCTTCCCTTACTGGAAACGAAATTTCTGTTGTTGCTTCAGGGAGAGAAACATCTCCCTGCCCCCTGCCTCTTCATTTAGGCAGTTTTAGGACAAAGAAGCAAATGACGTACTCAATTTAACTGAAACTGCTCCAATAAAGCAGGTGGGGGTTATATTGTAAATCCATGTTTGAGAGACTAATTCTTATTGCAGACTGTCACAATATTAAGAACTAGTGTATTTAATAAAGCTACGGCACAAGTATGCCCCAGCTTCACAGGGGCCAAAAAGCTTTACGTGATAGCAAACCTACCTTTTTCTTTCCAATAATTTAGAAATTAGCTTTTATTTTCTAATTTTTGGGAGTTAAACAGCACGTTCACAAATGTATTTTTAGTATCAGCTAAACAAACGTAAGAACCAATATAAAAACCTGTATTCTAAAGAAGTATGTGATTAGTTTAATAATTAATTCTGTTCATCAAGTAGAATTCAGGTAGAACGTTAAACAGTAGTGTTTGCCAGTCCATGCTTTTGAGGTCTCTTAAGCTATTGTTTTTTTTGTGGTACGGGTTTTGTTGTCAGTTTTTTATTTGTTTTGGGTTTTTTGTTTTTATTTTTCTATTTTTTTGTGTGTTTTTGTTTTTCCTGTTTGGTTGGGGGTTTGGGGGGTGTTGGTTTGTGTAGGGAGGGCTTTTGTTTGTCTATTGTTGGAGATTTTTTTTTCTTGACCATTATGATTATGTTTCACATTTTATATATTATACTGACCTAAATTATGAAGTTAGCACCATATTAAAAACATACATTTGGTGAAACAAAAAAGATTTAGAGTATTTTTAAAGTTGTTGGTAGCTCCTTTATAGAGAAAAAAAACACTGAAAAAACAGAGAAGCCATAGCAACTCTGTAATACTCACACATGAAATAACATATTGCTCAAAATTCCCATAGAGTATTTGTTTTTCTATACAAAAAAAGTACAAATTCCAAGTGCTGGCAGATCACTTGGAGATTTAAGTAGGAAGTCAACGTGCACCTGAAAACAGCTCTCTGTGAAGAGATCTATTAAAATACTGCTTGGAAATACTGTGGTTTAAACTACATCTCTCTCATGTTTTAACCAACCATGAAGAGTGATGAAGTTAAGTTTAATTACCTGGTATGGTTCTACAGTACGAAATGAAGGTAGATTCTGAGGCCAGTAAAAACACATTTTAGACCACAATGCTACTTTTAGGTTTGCTAATATTTTATATATATATATATATATATATATATATATATATATATATGTGTGTGTGTGTGTGTGTGTGTGTGTGTGTATCTGTATATATATAGATATATCTATCTCTATATATATAAAAAGGTCAGCACCACAGGTTGTCCAGCTTGCATTCTAGACAACTAACATTATTAACTTTAAACAATTTAACCATAGTTTAATAGATTTATGGCATTTGGTTTACATATGTTATAAAGCAAAGCTATTAAAACAAGGTAATTCACTTTGCTCACTTTTGCACACAAAGTAATAGTTTTAATAAAATGAAAACCAAACAACAGGTTTAAAACCAAAACCATCCTCCCAAAGTCTGAAGTTCTACACCCTAAGCAGAGAGGAGTCCTAACAGTCGACAGAGTGGCATATGGTATAAGCCTTGACATACTTTTACATTCACCTCAACCAGAACAGGCAAAGTGAAAGCATTTTATATATATAAAGCAAATTTATATATATAAACAGACTCACTACCAAAACCAGTTAGTAAGAGTGAACGATTTCACTGTGACAGGAGAGGAATCAAAGCTGTAATATTCTCTCTTCCACTGCTGTTTAACTCATTACCGGGAACAGGACTTAAGAAATAAATGGAAATTACAGCTTCTTTGAGCATTCAGCAGAGCTGCCAATCTTACTCTAGTTTTCTCCACTGGCATTTCTGTCTCACCAGATCAGTCAGCAGGGACACTTCAGCAGACTCTTCCTAGCCTTTCCTCAGTACACTGTCTTTATATTCTGAGCATCTTCAAATATTCAAAAACAAACCCCAAACAATTCATCCTCCTTAAAAAACAAAATACTTCTGAAGTCTTCTCCAGAAACCATTTCTAACTGATTTCCAGAAGGTCAGGAAAATTAAAAGGTTATTACACTTGTACACAGTAATTGAAGATTACTGAAAGAATAAAATACTTAAAAAATACATTAGTAATGTGCTTTTCTGTGTTTCACTTAGATGCAAGATTTTAGTCTGATGTGTTAGACATTGCATGAATTTCCATACTAGAATCCATGGCTTCAGAAGCTGAAGCATCATTATCTACTTTCTGTTCCACGAATGTTTCTGTTCTGTCTGGAGACTCAACCCTGTTTCTCATTTCTGTAACCCCTGGGTGATTTTTTCGCAAGTGCTGGTTTAGTGTACCCTGGAAAGGAAAACATTTTCCACAGATCTCACAGCGAAAGGGTTTGTCATCTGTGTGACCACGAATATGATACTCAAGTTGGTCCTTACGGGTATATTTCTTCCCACAAAACTTGCACACAAAAGGAGTTATTCCCATGTGCAATCGCATGTGTCGATCAAGGCTCCCCTTCTGGTTGAAAGATTTGCCACAGTAAATACAAATTAGCCTCTCATTGTATGGATACCAATGACCTCTTGCATTTCTTTCCCGTGGACTATTTTCATATCCTGGATTACTCACCATGGATTCACTGTCAGCCCCTTGCACCAAGCCCTGGACATCACTATGCAAGTGACCTGTAGGTACACGCTTTTGGCGTGCACGACCCCCCCTGAAACAGCTCAGCATTGACCTTGAAGGACTTGTATTGCTCAGGCTTCCAAAGGTTTCCGACACACCTGTAGCCTGTGATGAGGCATGGGTAAATGAATAAACATGTTGTAAGACAGACCCATAGGAACCAACATTTACTGCTACCACCTGCTCTCCATCCACCATTTCAGTGTGATATCCATCATCACCAAGGGAAGAGCTATCAGAGCAGCTTGGCCTGTCAGATTTTTCCATTTTAACTTTCACCTCTGCAATCTGACTTTCCCTTACTATCAGGTCTCCTTGCTCATGATCACCTTCAATCTGAATCTCATATTCAGAGATACTCCCACTGCTCCCTCGGTCTGAGTGCCCTTCTTCTTGCAGACGACTACGCAGAGTTTTGCCTGGAGTAGATTCCATCCGAAGATCACTGCCTGCTGTTGACTGTCGCACCTGAGAGCAATAGGGAGGAGATATCTCAATAGGGTTGGCAAAGTAGCTGCTGTCTTTAACGCCATTGCGATTCTCTGAATTTTCTTCGGCACCAACAGTGACAGAATCAACATCACCAACACTAATCTTTGAATGGATACTCTCCAGTATCTGTGTGCACTTGTCAATGACGCACTGCATCTGTAGAAAGCTAGCTGCAGTCAGAAAACTGACAACATCCTTCAGTTGCAAGGACATCCTTCCAGTGTAACAAAAAGAAAGCAACTGTTCAAAAACATTGGGGTTTTTAATAACTGATATAGACAGGCCACTCATGGTGCTTAATGCTGAATGGTCACGGAAATATGGAGAACTGGCCGCTAAGACAGCTTTATGGGCACGGAACGGCTGACCCTGGATGTGAACGATAATGTCACAGAGTTTCCCTTGCAAGCGGAGTTCGTTTAACTGGCTCAGAACAGTGTTGCTGTACTCTGGCACATCAAACTGAATGAAACTGCTGCTGTCCATTTCTACAGACGTAAAGAGTAATCTGAAAGAAAAATTAGAAGATTTAAAACAGAGAATGAATACAGAGTTTTCCATTTCAAAAACAAATGCTTGCAAATGTTTAAGTTAAATCACCACATTGATCCGTTAAAGGTGCATTACAACAAAACATTTAGTATCAATACCCGATGTAATAAAAAAGTAGAGTCTTAATCTACACATTTCTTGCATTTCTATAATTTGAATTACCCCTCTGCAACATTCACAATGCTCAGAATACATCACAGTCTTGCTGGGACAGTTTGTCCTCAAAGAAACTTTGCAATTTCATTCCCTGGCAAGAAGTGCAGAACAATCCACCTTCCAAAAGAATATCAATTTAATAGCCTCTAGGCAAAGTAAACACTTCAGAACCCTGAGTTCAAGACAGGTATTACAGTGCTACTTGCAGGGAACTACATTGTTAAATTTCCCAAGAATGATTGTTGGAAGGTACTTTGTGAAGTTTGAAAAATCTCCTAAGGAAAAGTCACAGGCATGCATATGCGTGTGTGCCGTGTGTGTTTGAAAGAAAAGTGTTTGAGCCACCCATTCACTTTCAATTAAAAAAAAAATAAACTCTTCTGTAATTCTTTTTTTTAACAAACCATGATGTGAACTTTGAAGCCCATCGGACACAGCAGTGATTTCCTAGCTAGAATGATCTGACATTTAAATTCTAACCTAACTTAAAAGCCATAGGTACTCAAACACCAGGAAAGGACATTCTGGGAGCCTTAAAGAAATGTATAGAGTTCCAAACAAAAGCTAAAGAAAAGCACTTTTTATAGATTACTACTGTAAAATGCACATACACACACTATCAGCCTGAGAATGTTGATCCTCAACATTACCTTCCATTTCCAAGACTGAGCACTAATCAAGCACCCAAGCACCTTCAGACTTTTATTGCTATTCTAGTTGTTACTAATGCGGAAGTCTGAAGACATAATACTGCCACCATACCTGCTTTTCCAATTGAACAAACAGATCTCAACATCCATTGACTTCGGATGCAGGAAGCATATCCAATGTATCACAATATACTAGTGGATTTTTTTTTCTATTATGTTACATGCTTAATGGGACATATGAACAATTTAAATCAAATTATGAAAATTCAGGTATTCTAAAAAGAAAACAGACAGGTAAAAATAAGATAAAAATCCTAAAAGGAAGCACTGGAACTCTGTCAGCTGACCCTCACTTAAAACTAACATTCGCAACTGTCACAAATGGAACTTCTTTTCAGCAGACACAGGAAAGCCAGCTTCCGGACTGGACATTATGTTTGACTTAGAAAACTGGCAAAAAACTCTCACAGAACATTCAAAATCAAGTTGTCAGACTTGCTAAGCATGTTCTCTAACTTACCATTAAAATGGGTAAATGGGACTTCATTTGAGTTTTTTTGGCTGAGATGTAAAAGTAAGAAAAAATACATTTTATAGGCTCTAATATCTAAGGTGAGAAATAAGGACTGCAAGATGGCTACCAGAAGTGATGACTGCAGTAACACCTTCAAAGATGGCTTTGGCAGGACAATTCTTTTATTCGGCAAAAAAAGCTACAAAACAGTTCACAGCTGTGAGCTGATATAAGCCAAAAATAAAACAGCACAACACATAACCTATCCCAGCTGTGGGGTAGTTACTTGGCAAGATTAACTTTGCTTTTCTAAGCATCCCTGACTGTTGTACAGAGAACCACTATCCCAGTCACATGCAGAAGACAAGATTTCCAGCAGTTGGATGCATGTTTGTGTTACAAACAGGAGTTTTAAGGTAGCTTAAAGAATCCCTAGGGAGGGAATGCACCATCACAACCTGTCACCTTCTCTTGTGTCTGACAGGGTAGCAAGCTTCTTAGAAACCCAACACAGGAAACATTTAATTTGTAAGGCTTATTAGATATGCATAGGAAGCTTTTAATTTGTGAGGCTTATTAGATATGCATAGATGCACCATCAGCCGTTCCTGATTAACTTTCTCTGCTAAATGGAGGAAGCATTTTTGTTGACTTGAAGTGACACAAATGGACCTGGGTCAGGGATTGTGTACAAACCAAAAGACCAGTCCCCAGAAGCAGTAATTTTGCATTCCAGTCTAGGATGTACAGAAAGTTTGTCACATACAGTGGTGTTCCTCTTTGTCCCATACTTCCCTAAGGGCTCTTACCCAGCAAAATCGATAACTTACTCCTGGAGAAAATATTAAAATATAAATTGTCACCACTAGCACTGATCCAGACAGAAGGAATGAATTAAGGATAGGCATCTGAGAAGAAAGAAGATGCATCAAAAAAAAATTATGTTCATCATGGCATCTGTAGATGAATTCATAGTCCCTGGGACATGGCCACACATTGAAAACACGTAAAAGAGAAAGTGTGAGAACCAGAAGGACACCAAGGAGATAGGAATCCACTGTGATCCTGCCCATCACAACTGTTAGAACACCCCATTATCTCCATATGCATATACATATCTGTAAGCAACTCTACATCCTTGTTCTCAGAGTTGTTTCATCTTTCTTTTGGGAAACAAAGAAGCTTTTTTGGCTTAAGATGCTAGGAGTAAACAGCACTTCCTGTCAGTGAGTGGAGAGGATGATGGCATTAAAGGTCTGTAAGTCTGTTCATCAGTGTAGCAGAAAAGCAGTAAAAACCTGCAGTAGGGATCAAGGAAACATACAGTGTTGCCTTCAAGCAAACAGGTCAAATAAAATACTGTGCCTAAAAGGCAGTGGACAACAAGATTCTATACCCATCTGCTCTTAAAAAACAAAGAGAATAAGCTACAGCACACTCTTGTGACTACTTTTTCACCTTAGTTTCTTCCTTTGCAGATACATGCTTCCTGTGACCTTGAAAACATCTGTAGAAGGCCGGGGTTAAATGACAAGAATTTTGAAATACAGCACCAGTGGACAGAATGGAACTCATCTTCTGATTTCAGCCACAACCTTAAATCTCCAGCTAGAGGGGAACTGACCGGGCTACCAATGGACAGCCCACTCAGGAGTAGGCAGGACTGTAACAGGAACAGCACTGAGGCTGCAGTAATTTTGGCAGGGTTAGTAGCAGAGCATCCCAACTTCCTTGTATCAATTTGGGAAAGCAAGACCTGGGGGAAAACCCAGGCATTACGCACATCAGAAAAGCAGTCACCACTCACCGTGTTTAATTGGTGAATAAGAGTCAGAAGAAAAATTATCTTATTTATTCACAAAAGACCTGAATATCACTATCTAAAAAATAAAAGTAATCCATGGATTATATTCCCATACACGAGAAGGTTTTATTTTATTTGTATATAGGATCAAGTTAGCAGCTCCATAATAAAATCTTAGTAACATTAACCAAAATAATGTTCAGCAGGGTACTGTACCATACCAATACTCAATTATTCATCAGTGCTGGCAGAGCAGCAGCACTTTCAAGACTTTCAATAGCATTTTTGGCTGGAACATTTCTGAAAGAGTCTGGGAAGATCACTACAGTTTGAAAAGGCTAGTAAAAACCCCTCAGTTTTTTAACAGCTTCCTTCAAGCTGAAACATCACACTAGCCTCTTCTCTTTTGGGGTCAGGCACATAGCATTTAACTGAAGCAAGCAGGTACTTTAAAGCACATATTAACTTTGGACACATCCACTGTATGCTCTAAAGAAAAAAAAAAATATCTCTGAAGTTAATCAGCAGTCACAATGAAACTTAACACACAATAATGCCTTACAGAATTAGCGCAGATGAAGAAAAAGAAATAATGCTCAGTCAGAAGCCCCATTCAATACCTTCCATGGTACCTTAGCACATGCAGAGGGAACCTGTGCTACTTAGGCTCAGTATAGTCACATAGAACAATAGCTTAAAATGACGACAGTTTTATTTGCAATATGTAAACTCACGCATTTGGCAGGTACTGAGAACTAAGACAACTTGAGCTGGACTCAATGATCCTTTTGGGTCCCTTCCAACTTCAGAATATTCTGTAAACTCACAGCAGTACACTCATTGTACACTCATTTTTAAAAAGTAATGCATTTCGTCTCGCTTTAGCTTTCACCCCTGCCTGGGAGTTAGTGTAAAGGTAGGGCAAAGTCCTGTAAAATTTGAGTCTGGGCACCTATCTACAATCGGGTCCTCTCTTAACCTTTCCTCAGAAGTAGGTCAAAGTGTTTAAGGTTTTCATAGCTATTATGTATCTAAGAAAGTGGCTGAAGGCACAGGCCAAAACTGGACACCAGGTTCACTTAGGTCATAGAAGGGCTCTGTGTTGAGCCTCATGCCTACTTCTGTAGGAGATGATGCAGTCACACTCCAAAGAATCACGTAAATTCTCTTTGCATCTGCATTACATTTATTCATCAGGGTTTATACAGCAAATGTAGTCCACAAAATGGTGTTAGTAGTAGTGGATCGCTGCCCTATGTCTTCAAACAGAAGCGTTCGTTGAAGCAACCTGTTAACATCAGAGTGACAGGCACTTAACGATTCTTATTAGATTTCAAAAGAAATTTCCTTTAAAAATTACGTTCTATGAAAACTCTTATTTAATTTAAATAACAAGAATAGATGTTGACAAACCACATTAGTTATTTAATTTTACTCACATCATACACTAGCAGCAGAGAAGCATCATATAACTATAACACGAAGATGTGTGTCTGCCAACATAGTATTAGTTTCTGCTGCTAAGTCTGCACCTGTTTAATTTCCCTCACTCACCAAAGTATGATTCACTGTTCCCACCACCAGATGAATGACACATATTATACTAATTTTAATTCACACTAAGGTGTGAGAAAAGATCCCTTGCTTTTTCTTAAATTAGCTGAGCAACAAGGAATTCTTGAAAAAAAAAACACATTACAAACCATTACTGTTGTAGCACGTCTGAGAACAGAAATACATAGAAAAGCTAGGAGGGTCATAATGAATATTAAGACAAAAACAAAACAAAATACTCCATGACACTAAAAATGCCTCTAACAGGCAAAAAGTGACAGAACAAGAGGAAACGGCCTCAACCTGAGGCAAGGCAGGTTCAGGCTGGAAATCAGGAAGAATTTCTTCACTGAAAGGGTTGCTAAGCATTGGAACAGGCTGCCCAGGGAGGTGGTGGAGTCACCATCCCTGGAGGTGCTAAAGAAATGACAGGACATGTCACTCAGTGCCACTCTGCTCTGGCTGACAATGTGGTGATCACTTAAAAATTGGACTTAATGATTTTCAACTTCAATGATTCTGTGATACTCCCTCCATACATACCTGCTCAGAATACAGAGAAAAGGCAAGAAAATAAACAGGTATTTGTATAAATCAGTGCACTCCTCCCTTGCATTTTGTAGGAGCTAGTATCTGCACCATCTGTTCGAGAACTCAGGACATCACTGCAAATACGTATCATCATTCAAGAGAATTTTAACCTAGGAATGTAGCCTTATCAGCTGTGATCATAGAAGTTCCTGGACAAAAGTCTTCATCAATCTTACTCCCTTCAGACTGCATTTGCATCAGTCTTCAGATTTACAACAGCCACACTAATTAACATCAGCTGTATCAAAGAAAAACTGCCATCAAGTATGTCACAGGCTAGGAGGGGTCTCTTAAGACACTACTGAAATAATCTTGAAGCGACTGATCATAGAACATTTTACCAGTTTATACCTCTCATAACAGTGAAATATGAATTATCCTTTAAAAGTCAACGTATAGTGCTCTTGGATGGCCTTAAATAATGTGCCACACAAGACTGCTGCTGTACTGAAATCCCATCTCCAAAGGAGGGTAAGCTACCCCACTGATAAAAAATAGGGTTTAATCTTGCAGCCATTAAAAAACCCCAGAACTAAAGGAGGGTAAGAAACCCACATAATCTCCCAACAACTGAGATAATTTTGAAGTACAACAAACTTCTAATAATACAAGCAGCACTATGCAAATACACAGAATTGGTTTTTGCATTAATTCTTCACTTCCTCTAAAGTGCCCATTGGAATCAAGGAATATAGAGGCACTTTGCCCAAATTATCTGTAGGAAAGCACACAACAAAAGCTGCATGTGGCATATTATTCATTGGAAAACAGCCTTGAAAGTCAGTCTGCTTCACATCTGGCTTGGACTACAATAAAATCTGTTAAGCGACAACTACACAACAATTTAAAACTTCATTACTTTACCTCATAAAAACGCAGGAAATGCTCATTTCCTCAGAAACAGAAGCAAGTTAATACAGGCAGAACTGTAGTTACTAGAAAACAGCTCATACACTCTTGCATCCATAGATATCAGAACACCAATGAAAGTCATCATTCCTTCTCTGCAGCCAGACAGGCCACGTTGTACCCAAAGTACTGAACACCTGCAGTGAAGCCATAAGCAAAGCTCCTGCCTGGCAGGTGAGAGCTCTGGCAGTGCTATCAACCTCCCTAACTGCCAGGGGAGCAAAGCAGGAACCCCTGACACTCAGTTTGTCTATCAAAAAATTTAAACGGATTTATTTTATCTCATCGAGATTCACAACATGATGAACAGAAAGTCACTTGAAAGAGTGGATGATTTAGCATTGAAATAAAATCAATTTATTTAGCTGTATGTACATACATGGACATGCATACATACGCACAGGCCAATAACAGCAACACTGCAAACTCATTCTCAGTAGTCAGCATGATGAAGCAGAGATATTGTAGGAATATTTAGAATTGTGTAGGAAAAAAAAAAGGACACTCTTATTTGAGCAAATATCCAAAGAAAGCAGATATGAAACTGAAGTCCAAGTGACACCTTCATCCCTCATTCTCTTAACTGTCTTCCTCACAACTGCTTGCCTGTGTGGAAGTGATTGAAAGGGCAAAAATGAAACACCAGCAATGCATAAAAACAGTTTCACCTAAGAATTAGAAACCTCAATAGAAATAATCTCTAAATCTTGACTCTAGAAATCAAATTACCACAACAGTAGTTGTAGGTACATATCTATTTCTGAATGCAAAAAAAAAAAAAAGTTACCAGAAAGCAAACTGGAGATAAGCCAAAATCAAAAGGTGCCTTCCAAATCAAACTATTCTATGTGTTTATGACAACAGTATCAACAAATGGATTGTGCCAGATAAATAAACAAAGGGGCATGATGGTGATACGTACACTTCAAACCAGCAATATCTTACAAGTAATGATCAAAAACTTTTATTTTGTGCACAAATTTCACAATATTCCATAATGTAATGCTAATAGCCACATTTTCTGAATACCTGACAACTTCGAGAAGTCATTACCATTATAAAAATCTCCAGTATTTTGAAACTGAATATATACATATATATATATATATATATATATATTTATATAGCCAGACCTCCACAAGTGAGAAGAGAGCTCTTGAAGTTTCTGATATTATGATTTTATTTATTACAAGGGTAATAATTCATCGCTATTGTCCATTTTAATCTGCACTTTCTTTTCTGTTTTTGTTTCTGGGTAGTGTTTTTTGGTTGGTTTTTTTTTTTTGGTTGGTTGGTTTTTGGTTTGTTGGGTTTTTTTTCACAGTAGCCATTCTTCGTCAAATTGTTGACTTTTTGGCTCCTATGTTTCTTTTAGGCAATGAAGCGACTGATGATGAACGATGCTCTCTAGATACCAGCAACATCTTTTGCAGTAGATTCACAATAGCTGCGAAGAGCGTGTTCTCGTGGTTTTTTTCCCAGCACACTCCTTGGGACAGATGGAACTGTTTGGAGCTGTCCGTGGACAGGCAATGAAGCACAGGCACATTCTGATCCAGATGTTCAGTATTCTGTAACATGCAGCAACTGCAGTGCAGCTAACCCTCTATCACTTTTTTCCCCTTGAAAACCAGGCTCACCCACATTAATGTTTCTGAGACTGTTCTAGCTTGTTCCAAATTCACTCTCAACTCTGATTTACTCTAAGCCAATTCCAATTCTGCATGCTGTGCACACCTGCCGGGATTTGGAAAGACCTTTGCGTTAGAGATTGGGGTTTCACTAGAACTTACACCTTCTCTGACGGAACAGCAGCAGCTGAAAGGTCCCCTAACTCCTGGCAATAAGCACCTCCCTGAATGAGGCCAGGTTCGTTCCGCCCCAGTCCTCCGTGCCAAGGATTTTACGCCTCGCTCGGGTTAACAGCGGACCCCGACACAGGCGCGCCCGCCCTGCCTCCCCGCACGCCAAAGCTGCACCAGAGGCACCGATTCTGCTTACGCGACAGCTCCTGCCGAGGCACGGCCGGGCGACAGCCGCCTCGACAAAGCGCTGCCGTCGCTCCAGGCGGCCGAACCGAGCCACGGCCGCCGGGCCGC